ACCAGAATCTTTGGGAGCTTGAGAGTTCAAATCTCTCAAAAAGTCCATTGCTTTGTCTTCAACTGATGAAGCTGAGAAGGGTGGATCTTGGATATCAGATGTGAATAGTACAATATCCTTGGATGTGCATTCTCCATCAAGAGTACYAAGGGTACTTTGTCCATTATTGGGAGAATCTCCATCTTGTTGCRGTGGTGTTCCTTGCAGATTGGAAAATAACTGTGGCTTTAMTAAAAGATTCTTGAACTTCTCTGTTACTTGCTCATAATCATTGGTTGGTGAACATGGATCAGAATTTGTTCTGAATACACTTTCTTTTCTTGGTATAAGTTGCAGACTGCCACAGCTGTGTGATGTGCCATTCTGAGAACCAGCCGCTAGTGTTAGAGTCTTCTTTTGATTTGATTTATTGGTTTTCATAGTAGAATATCCAGCACTACCAACAGCCTAAGATAAAAAATATGAATATTACTAGTGAAAGAGCTAAAACAAACAACTGAAATTTACACATTACAAAAAAAAACAATCAAAGAATACAAGTTTCAACATACTGGAAGCAACTGCACAGGTGCATCTTTTGTTGGAGTAAAATCTCTCTCCCATGGTTCAACATAATTCTTGTCTTGTACTAATGGACGTTTTAAATCTGCTTGGTATTCTATGAAAAAGAAAATAGTAAACACATTTGAAAGAAATAAATGGAAATATTGATAGTCAAAATGGGCATTCACATACCATYTTGCATAAGAAAATTTCTCAATTTCTTCTGTGAATTTTTAAACGTCATGCGTTCCTGATAGAGAAAGTAATATACACATAATTTTTGGCACAGAGATAATATTATCATTCCCCGTTAATTTAGAGTATTATATATGAATTTACTGGAAAAAACTTCTGCTTTACCTCTGGTTTACGGAGCCAGCATTGTTGAATTATGTCAGCCACAACTATTGGAATACCATCCCTACAGTAAAGAGAATAAAACTCACTGATGCCATGTTTTTGTTTGATTATTATCAAAATCACATCAATTTATTAAATGCAATTTCTTTACATGGATAAGTTACTTTACCTCTCTGTTTCCAAGTACTGATTTCTGATGAGTACATCAAGAACCTGAAATACAATGGATGATACTGTATAAGCATAAGGAGAAATGTGATTCAAAAGCCTTGTTGGGTTAATATGCAGTTAAAGTAAGTCATAAATACATTTAATAATTTAATAATTTACAGAAATCAGCTACCAACATCTAGCTATGATATTCTTATTAGTCTGCTACAATATTTTTTTTGTGTTAATATAATACATCCTATATTTATATGGTTTATATGGTTACTGTAGGCAACTACAATGTACTATTAGTAATAATTACTGACTGGTCTATTAAGCTCACAAACCTCCTCTTTTGACAGGCAAGTGCCATCTGTTTTGTAGAATGGTTTCTTAAGGGTGAACATCTCCCATAATGTCACTCCAAATGACCAGATATCACTTTCATGGGTTGGATTAGTGTTTTGTYCTGGTTTAGGGTTCAGCAATTCAGGTGCATTCCAGCAATGTCTAAGAATTAAAAGTAAGGGCAAACCACAAAATTTGAGAAATGACTTTAGTTTGTAACTGTTTGACTTTGATTAAGTTTGCATAATGGAAGTAATTAGTTGATGGTTGATCTCGCTTCTGGTTGGTTACTGGTCAACAAAATATAAACATTCCCAAAATATTTCTAAATAGTCACAGCCTTGAGWTTCACACTTTAACATTGGCAGTACCTGTCAGAAGTCTTTTTTCCAGGAAAGAACTGGGCACCATGATTCTTGAGGTCTGACAATCCAGCATCACTAATYTTAACATTAGTAGGATCACTTGGTACCAGAACATTATGAGCACAAAGCTGGCCATGAACAAATTCCTGGAAATGATARGAGTACAAAAWATGACCATTGATGGATAACAAGGTTACAAATGTAGTATCCAACATAGACCAACCTTTTCCTGGAGAAACTTCATCCCTATAGCAATCTGAACTGAATACTGGGTAACAGTTTTTGTTGTTAATGTGCCGTAATTATCTCTGAAAAACAATATTGAAGTAAGTACTTAATGTCAAAGTCAACCTGGTAAACTTAAAGTAAACACATGAGTAACTTATTAAATAGATTTTGATGAAGAAACGCAGACGTTTTGGTCAGAACTCTGGCCTTCCTCAGTGCATTGTATTAAAAGAGCTAAGTTTGCATACAAAAGTTAAAGGGTTGAAAAATTGAATTACCATGCGATTCATACAAGAATTTATGATTGTTCTGTAAGCTACGGGTATCACAGTTCTAACATAGCTTACAGAACAATCATAAATTCTTGTAAGAATCACGTGTGCTAATATAATTTTTCCATCCTTTCGTGTGCAAACTTAGCTCTTTTATTACAACGCACTGAGGAAGGTCAGAGTTCTGACCGAAACGTCTGCATTTTTCCATTAAAATCTTAGGCTAGTAACAAATATTTTTATTCAGTTTTTAGTATGACTCTTCTTAGCTTTGATCTTAGCTGCAATTTTCAAATGTCAAGTAACGTTTCTTACTTATTTATTCTCTTCATTAGAAAATCATCAAGAGGTTGAGAGAGAAACTCAAAAACTATTCCCAGCTCATTTTTCATGCGAACAATTCCATGACATCGGATTACATTTTGGTTCTTGAGCTCCACTAGCCTTTTTCCCTCCTCAAAGAATTTCTACATGAAATAGAAGGATCAAATGAAAGRATGAAAAAGAAATAAATTCATAGGTTTTAATTAATGAATCAGAGAGTTGAATAGTTAAAGAATGATTTATATGAATGTCACATTTTCTAGTTTTGAACCTGATCATAAGTAACTTTCTTGACTTTTCTAATGRCAACATCAACAGGTTTCTCCTTTTCTTCTTTCAGCCATTCTGCTTTGATGACTTTTCCATATTCACCCTAAAAAACAAAACAAAAAACAAAAAAAAAACAACAAAGTCTAAGTACAGGTACAATACTACAAAAAAGTCTRTTATTTGGTGACAAGATAAACAGTGACTCACTAACCTGACCAATTTCAGTGAGTTCTTTGATAGTTTTGATATTGATAGTTTCACCAAACTCACTGAGGTCTTGTGGTCGCTCAGAAGTTGGAACTTCTTGATAGTTATCAAGCAGAGCATCAAAACCTACACACACAAAAAATAATAAATTATTTATCATTAGTCTTTGTATAATCATTGTATAATATATTGCTAACCAATCAATATCGACTCCTGCAACATTACAACATGTATACCTTCATCACTTGGAGGGCAATTCTTCTTTAAACAGCATACAAGGCCACCCTGGAAAGATGTGACATATCCAAGGTTGACCATTCAAATCAAAATTATAAATAATAAAAAATTGCTTTATGTGGACTCTATAATAACAGGTAAATTGTTCAATCCCATTTTCCTTATCTTAAATCAGTTTGTACTATGGTTATTCATCTAGTGAGGTTGCCTTTTCTTGGTCAATTTAGCACTTTTCATTATAAAATCATTGAGTTTGAACTGYAATTGCTATTCAGTACCAACGTTCCCCTACCAATTCCCTCTAAGGCTAGATTTTTCATAAAATAATTGAGCTATTTGAATCACCAAAAGATTTAGTTTGCATCCTGCTTATGTTGGACCATGTTTTGAATGGTGTTATCACTTTTACCTCATGTCTCACTAAATCATTGAATCCTTTGAATTAGTGGCCACTTTTCACCATTACCCAACCATCTGATGTTTTACAGGGGGAGGGGTCAGTCGGTGTTTACCTTGTTCTCCTTATAGTGTTTCACTAAATCATTCAAGTCTTTGAACTTGTCAGTTGTATCTTTAATGAAGAATTCTCCATTCTCTTCTAAAACTTGGTAGTGTTCACATTTTTTATTGCAATACAATGATAAGCTGTACTGATTGTAATTTTCTCGACTTTTTCGGATCAGGAAAAGACCATCTTCAYTGCCATGTTCCTGGATTTTAGATACTGCTCTTTCTCGCCTGAAATTTTATCATTCATCGCAATGAAAATAAAGTGAGATCTTCACATTATCTATTATTCTAAAATACTTAGGATACTACGCGCGCTGTGATTGGTCGAAAACCATGTTTGATTACAGTATCAAAACACGCTCGTGCGCGTCAAAAAATTTCTTTTATTCTTTTAATTTTAGAAAAGAAATAAAAGAYRAAATTCCTTGTTTGATACTCTGATCAAAACACTTGGGATRTAGGGAGAGCACTCGAAAAGCTGGAAACCACTCCGCTACGCGTCGTGGTTTCCTACGCTTCTCTCGTGCTCTCCCTACATCCCGCGTGTTTTGATCAGAGTATCAAACACGGAATTTCGTCTTTTATTCCTTAAGCATAAKCTGTTATAATGTCAAATTTACAGTTACATATCTGTACACATGTATATAAAGCATATCTTAAATCAAGGACATTTTTTCAAAGAAAACCCTGTTATTAGGTAATTTTTGGCAAGTATACATTATATTTATTATACCTGATTGGTCCATGAATTTTAACAAGGATTGATCGGCCTATAATAAATTTCAAAAAATTAAAATAATAAAATAAATGAAAATGAGATAAATAATAGAATAAATGAGCAATTGAATAAATGGTAGGATTGATACATACCTTGGTTGATAAGACTTTTATATCTATTCACAAGTAGTTTATAATACCCATCAATAATGGCTACGATGGACTGTGCATCTTCCTTTGATTGTGCAAGCAGTACCTACAGAACAAATCATTGCAKTTCTTTATACCAATGAAAAAAGAACTTAAAAAAACTGAGAATTTTCATGAATTTCATAGTGTCTTTTAACAAAATATCATTTGATCTTTAGAATTATAATTTATGAGAATCTCCTAACTGAAAAGAAAGGGTTAAACACAGAAATATATATACAATTCAGTTGATGGATATATGATTACAAAGAGTGTTATACCTGTGGTGTTGCATCAACCCTGAAGACAGTCAGTTTGTTACTATCTACCTGGTCAATCTCAAGCCTGGACACATCACTGAAGTTTTCAACAATCACTTCTGCATGCTAGAAATACAACCCATTGGGTTAGAAATACAGCCCACAGTTCAGTCACATTCAAAGTAATGAATATAATAAACATAAATGTTATTATTTCACAAGAAATAGAAAAACAACAAGCCCGGCAACTATTTTTTTTATTGCTGTCATTACATTCTCTTCTTTTTGGCCTCCAGACTGCTCCTTTTCACCTCTACATTTTCTTTTCTTTTGTATTCCAAACTGAGCACTTATCAGAAGTTCATAACTGACATTTCGCATCTTGTTTGCAATATAATTTGTCTCAATCTAGAAAAAGAAAAACATCATTATCAGATGTAACAGAAAAAAAGTATTGATTTGAGTTGAGAAAGTGGGGGAGAATAGGGAAGAGAGAAGGCTGTAAATGAACTGCTATCTGTTGGAACGTTCTTGCTCTTTGTTTGATTGCACAAGATGATCTGTGTTTCTTGGAAACAATTTAACGATCAAGTTTTACTAGAAAGTTTCCACGTACAGAGCCACCTTAGGGTGTTAACTTACCGTATTTACATCAAATGTGTAGACAAAGTAGTTATTTGAATATTCAGTATTATCGAGGAACTCTCTCTTCAGTCTTAACTCCTCCAATTTTTCATAGTCCCCAAGAGGCTTTCTTAGATAAGATTTGACATTTTTCAATTCATGGGTTGCAAATAGACCCCTTCGTAGAAGATGTTTTATTTTGAAATGTTGCCTGAAGGAAGTTATAGACAAGTTATTTGTTAAGTTTGAATAATAATACAAACAAGGATTAGAATTTCAATGCATGACTTWAAAAAATGGCAGCATTTAACAACCGTCAATATTGGAGGACTAGTGATGAAATAATGGAAATGAGACCTACAAGGCCTTTGGATCTAAGAAAAAAACACCATGAAGATCTCATGTATGACAGTGTCAAAGATGTATGAATTATTCACTTACACTTTGTCCAACACATGTGAAGCCTTAACATCATTTTGTTTTGCTTGGTAAACAATTTCACAAAGGACAGCTTTCACAAAATGTTGATCAATGTCCTTCTTGCTAAATCCTGAATCATTCTCACTATTGTAAGTAAATTCTAACTTGGTAGGATCTTTCAAAAAGTCATRTCGGCACTAATGAAAAAGATGACAATTATGTTAAAAACATACATGTAAACATGCTTTCAGCTAGTTTGTGCTACATGACTGAAATTTCACCTCATCTAACTTCTGAATCTCTTTGACTAAGATATCTCAATATATTGCATTATTCTACGATATAGAAATAAGGAGAGGAATGTTGTCAAAGTCAAAATTATAAATCTTGATGTTCTTAAGTATTTTTGGACAACAAAAGTGAAACAATATACTAAATTTGCACCTAGATCACTATGATTTGTCTATTAAGTTGCTAACTAGCATAATCTCGCCATTCTTTACTTCATATTTAAAACTTACCTGATGAAACAARTATACAAGAGCATTTTCATCAAAACAATTCTTATCAGCAAACCATGATGGATGGCAACCTTTGAATACTAGTCTGAATTCATAGTGTTCATTACATTCATTTTCTGTTAATGTTTTCTGTAGGTTCATGACGTGACCGCCATTTACAGTAACCAATGAGAAGAAAGGGAAGTTGATCGGTAAAATGCCAACTTCTCTTGCAGCATTTTCACAAACATCCTAGAGAACAAATAGAATTAATGTGAAATTTCTTGGCTTTAAATTGGTGTTTTTAAGTAAACTGTTCACATGGTCCAATGATATTACTACTGGAAAGAATAGATTGGAGGTTACTGGGTCAGACACATCCACTCATGACCAGTCTGACTCAGTAACAACCAAACTATTCATGCTTTATAAACAGAAGTTCCATAATATGGATGACAACAAGGATTGCCAACTGAAACAGATTTTATAATTCAATTAAAACAAATTATCAAAATGAACATTGGCACAGAGGCAACCACAACACAAAAATACAAAAACTTAAACTAAAAATACAACAGATAAACAAAAAGACCCAACAGCTGTGGTCCTGTTGTCCATTTCTTGGAATATCCAGATTATATAACCTTCAGCCATATTTCCAGGAAATTTGGTATTTTGACATGCACTTGGAGGGCATAAGCTTAGATACTACATTTTATAGGCTCACTAA